GAACTGGATGTATTCCTAATTCTGTCCAAGAACACGGTTGTGAATAAAGAGTGAAATTAAAATGTGTTCTGTCTCTTCTTCAGCAAACCAGGAGCGTTTGATGATTAGCTCTGTGTTTTCCGGCTCCATGTCTCGGGACGAAAAGCACAACGAGGCTCAAGGATCAGAATACTGAGATCCTGGACGGACAAACTACAGACAGTTGTCTAAAAGCAGATGGAGAAAAAGGTTAGCAAACTATGATCAACTCTGAACATTAAGAAAGAACTCTGAGTATTCCTGTTTGAGCCCAGACGAACAGCCTCATGACACTCAAAGCAAGTGTTTGCTGTCTTGGATCTTCTATAATGCAACAACAAGCTACAGTAAAAAATTTGCATGGTGCAGCACATCACATAGAATAAAACGGAGTCCAAAATGTTTTATTTACCATCCAACAACTCTGAGCAGTGTGAGTCAGAAGAAGTCTGACAGCAGATCTCAGTTTTTAAGCAGATTAAAAAAAAAAATGTGCAGATCAGATCACATATAAAAATCAATCACCTGCTTGGTGCATGAAATAGATCAGCAGATGAGATTTATGTATGTGAATTAAGCTCATTGGTTATTTCCACGGTCTAAGAAGCATTTCAACACCTGACAATTTCTTGCATCAGTTCTTTCAGTCTGAACTGTGACAAAGGTTTTTGCTCCTCTATAATTACAAATACAGACTGCTTTCCTATGAAGGATCAATGCTTCTTTTTTTTTTCAAGTATTTGTACTTTTAATTCATTTCTTATTTTAAAACTAAACTACAGAAGCATCAAATATCACGTGAGATACCTTGTGCCTTCATGTGAATGCAGAGCCTGGCCACACAGGAGTGAGACCTGCTGTGATGCAGCCGTTATCTCCAGGTGGAGTTCTAGTTCCAGTAAAGCCAGTCTGTCCAAATAGCCTTGCTTTGCAACATATCCCTCTGGAGAAACAAATCAAGACGGCTCGACTGGAACAGTATTTGCTCACCCTCACTCTCTGAATGCGCAAACAGCCTCTGAATTCGCCGAAAAGAAATGAAAGAACTAAAAGAAAGAGTATTTAAGAGATTCCGGACCCAAATCAAACATGGGGCTTCTGCACAGGAGACACTTTGAAACTTTCACTATGAACAAACACATCTATTCTAAGTGTTAAATTACTGCCATATGTGTATTAATTTCACATGTGCCCATTGCATATAACCTATTTTACAGACTTTGGTTTGATCTGTTTGCACATGTGGATTTCTTGGATTTGTACCAACGTCTGCTGCTGTTCTTTTCAGCTTTAACTCCTCGCTGCTTAAGACCACAAACAAGTGCAGGTTTTTCTTCTTTGTTTATTTCTTTTCATGCCAGAGATGATCAAGCCCGTGTGTGTAGTTCCCACACAGTTTCACAGTTGCCTTTGATTTGTTTTGTGCTTTCGGTGTGTAGGGTGAAATTGTAGCTGACGGTCCTCTCTGTGACGGCGTAAACACCTGAGAAAAAGCAAACATGCCCGTGAATAAGAACAGTAGCATTAAGGGCGTAAAGAGAAAAAGTATCTGATTCAGACCTGCAGATGGATGTCAGAAATGCATCATAAGTAAAAAAAAAAAAAAAAAAAAAGAGATTTGATGCTCTGACATTTTCACAAACAGCCGTGTTAATCTGCGCTGCTCAAAGCAAACCTGTGGCGGTAAATTAAATTAAGCCTCATCTTGAGCAAATGCTGCTTTGCAAACACAATGTGCTCGACTCACCGAATGTTACATTGTCTCACTGCTGACTGTGTGATGATTTTCTGTAGCTAAGGTGCGTTTGCTGTAATGAAGACAGGCATCTATTTAGACAACTCGTACAGGCATCACTGGTGATTTGGTAGTAGATCATCACAGTCAGGTTAAAGCCATTTGTCTGCACAGACCTTTTGTTGGCAAAAAAAATCACACTTTTAGACATTTACAGTCACAACCACTCCTTGTGGGAATGAGATTTTGCTTTCTGCAGCATTAACAGATTGTAGGTGGTGATATATCAGATTAGAGATGTCCTCAGGCAGCCAGAACACACATTAATCCTGTAATGACCCCCGTGCTAAGCTGAACATCATTATTTTTCACATGACATGGAGCAAAAGTTGGCACGGTGTCAGATTGCTCTATCAGGTGTTCACATCTAAAGTGTTATGCCTCAGAATGGCGGCTTGGAACGCTGAGATCTGAGGGGGTTTTTTTCATAGTTGTATAACCTCAAAGTCACGACTTTAAAAATATTTTACACAAACTGGACAACTGGGCTGGGAGAAGAGGCCAGATAACCATTTTCACTTTTAAACATTAGCATTTAGAGTAAATCTTATGTTAAATAAAAGACATTTCAACAATACCACCAGCCGATGAACAGTAATTGTATTCTTAAAAGTAAAGTAATTTAATTAACGATTGAAAGAATGAAGAAAGCTCAGCAAAAGCTTTTAAACTGACATCACAAAACCTTGTGCCAGATAAATACATCCATCTTCCATACCTGCTTAATCATTTCAGTGCCATCGAGGGGCTGCTGTCGGTGTCCTGCAGTACGAGGCTGAGAGGCGGAGCATCCTGTGGGCGGATCACAGGTCCACTGCAGAAACACAGCCACGCATCCACACCAAGCCTGAAAAGCATCAAAAGTAACAGAAAAACAAAGTCAATTCAGTCTAATCACATACATACATGTCAAATCATCCCAGTTATCAAACAATGAAGTCAAGTTCGGTTTATTGTTCAAAGTGTTTAAGCAGCTTTCTATCTCAAGAAAAGAAAAAAAAAAAGCAATTATAGCAAAATCTAGACTTATTTCACGTGACTGAGGACAAACTGTTGTTTCACAGCCAAACAGACTTTAAAAAGAAACTGGAAGATGAGTTAAAAGGAAATAAACAATGCTCCAGGTCAACAAAGACATTGACCTGCAGCAATACCTCATGCCGAGCATGCATGTAGCAACAATAGAGAGAAAAAAACTCCCTTTTAACAAGCCAAACCTCCAACAGAATCAGAACCTGGCTGAGTATAATCGGCCATCTGCTGCAGCTGACTGAACGTTTGAGAAGACAGAGCATACATGCAAAAAAAGAAACGGCAACACTGATCCACAAGCACTGTCTATGTTTGAGAAACGGAAGAAGTTGATGGCTGGAGTAGCCGCTTTAACGGCATTGTCTGGGAGAAAAACACATCTTAACAGATAAACTAGGATGAAGGATGAAAAGAGCAAATACTGTACAGTTAGTAAAAGAAAAGGCTCGGCTAATATGTGTCTATGCGAGAGACAGGTTTAAAGCCTAAGAAAACGCCTGGTGCATCACCTATAGAAGGACAACATTAAGTTATCAGCAGCAATAGCTCAGCTGATACGTCTCTCCAGGGAGATGTCACAGCTAAATAGAACGCCAGAGCAGATGAAAATACATGCTTCAAAGATGTGACACATAATTCTCATGCTTAAACCCACAGATTGTGTGTTTGTTCATAAATGGCACCATTCATGGCGACGTAGGATCAATGTATGACAGCAGCTTAAGATTTGAGTTTCTGCAGCCAAAGTCAGAGAGGGCAGAAAGGAAAACAATAAGGTTTTAAATGTATAATTACTGTCATCGCTCTTAAAAGCAAACAACAAAACTCATTCTACATTTTTATTATTATTTCAGTATAATTTCATTGTTCAGAATTCAACCTCTTCATTTTTACATACAACACAGGTTGACATACAACATGGCTGACAACTATTTTTCTACACACAAAACATCTGTTTGCAGTGTTATTCCAGAAAGCTGATTATGTGACTTGATTGTAAATGTCATGTTTGAAAATGCAGAAGATTTTTTTTTAAATCAATCCCTGTAAAAAAAAAAAAAAAAAAATGTCTTGGAGGATTTATCCCAACAAGAGAAAATCTATGAATTCCTCAAAGGCAGTTTGGAAATTGCATATTTTCACATTTCCATATGTTTACCTCTGCATAATGCCATCATCTCAGTCAAGGAATCTGCAAGAATTTCAACGTGCAAAGAGCAAGGGAGGCAGACACACTCTTAATCCTGACACAACTTCATGTCCCATTCGACAGTGTTTGATGTATTTGCAGGAAGAACTCATCAAAATAACATCTGGAACATTCTCGTCCATAATCATGAGCTATGGCGAGTGACTAAAACAATGAAATGCCATGATACCACAACGGACTTCTCTGACTGGTGGCAAGAATATAAAACTATGAATGCAAAAAAAAATAAATGAATAAATCTGAGAATCTGCATTTTCACAACATGTTGACACGATCTTGTTTCTTGTCTGACTTGCATTGTAAAAACTTCTTCCATACAGCCAGCAAATATTACAGAGCTGGTTTATTTATGCTGCTGCTTCACTGCATCTTAATGAGAGTTCACTCCTCATCTTGTCTGCACAGTTTTACAGGCGTTGGCATGTCTGCTAGGTGGAGCTACTGACAGGAGCTTTTGCCAGGGGCAGCTGTACAGGATCATTACACTGAGTGAAGTCTCAAGAAATATCTTTCATGCTGCTGGATTGTTGTCGAACTCTGAACGTTGCCAATGCCTGTGGTAAATCTACTCCCAGAAAGCATGATGGGAAACGGTGAAGGCCACTCATAAACACTTTGCAAGCCCTTCTTGATGAAAGTGACAGACTTTGGATAAAAAAAAACAAAAAAAAAAGTATCTTTGTCAGGGGAAAAACTCAAGCTGATGGAGGAGGAAAATGACAAAATAAGAGCATCTTGAGGGATGTGTGAAATGAGTCATTGAGCTGGAACCATGAAGATATGAAACTCCATGGCTACTTCCATGAGTCGTTTTTTTTTTTTTTTTTTTTTTAGCAGTTGCCCATCTGACCTGTTCACTTGAGGAACTACCACTTTCACAGCTTTCACTTCCCTGTTGCATTTATCTGTGGCATTTAAAATAAGAAAATATGTAATTCAGGTAACATATGTCAAAACTGCAATGTCAGATTTGAAAAACATTCTAGTCTAGATTGCCTGTTGTGTGCAAATTTCACTTATCTTCTTGGGATATCGTAGTTTGACTGCATATTTCAGTTCAGGTTCAGGCATAGTCGTTCAACTAGGTCTGCAGCTGGTAGTTGTTTAAGTTTAAGTTTAATTTGATTAAATCTTGTTCACAGTAAATTAAACAGATTAATAAATGAAGTCATGAAGGAATCATTTTCTAATTTATTTCTATTTTATTTATTTGCCTCTGCTGGGCAGAGGAGCTGCTGTTAGCTAGCAACTGGATTTTATAAATTTTATCCCCTGTGATGGATTGCTGACCTGTCCGTGGTCTACCTCGCCTCTCACCCAATCAATCCTTGACACAGATCCGAATCCTGCACGACCCTCATAAATTATGAGCAAGAAACCTGGGAGACGATGGACGGATGGATGAATCATTTTTTGATTTGAAGAAAAAAAAAATCAACAATATTTTCATCACAGATGTAGACTGAAACGCAGACCCAAAGGTTTGCTGAAACTAATCACCACAATCTATCAGTTTTGATAGTTAGGCCTTGAGCATTAAGATGGCATTGTTAAGTTTAAAGTGAAGACATCTGGGGATAGATAGTTAATAATAGGGACCCATAAGTGTCTGACTGCCCATTCACACCTGAACACTGCAGTCAACAAGTTCTTGCCGTTAGTTGCAACTGAGAGGTCCAAAACTGCTTTCTGCAAGAGAAGTCCAAAAAGGGAGAACGTGAGCATTTTCAAGTCTCCGTATTACATGTTCAACCTTATTTACTGTCTAACACCTGAGAAAGCTGCTGGTTCGTTAACCGCCAATGCACCGGCCAACCGGGAACACGTACATAAACTTTACGGGGAAGTCAGAGCCACACACCGGGCAGCGTATTGACATGCAAACACCCCACATAATGTGTTGTTCACAAAGATAAATCATTCTCACCGCTCCCTCAAAGTGGGTTTTAAACGCTTACCTTGATTTCTCCAAAGAAACATGATTCCTCAAATTGATGTAAATATCTGCACAGGTGAGCCTGTGTGTAGTTTGAGTGAAAAGTGGCGCGCGCGCGCGATCCGCGCTGAGGTGAACTTCATCAAGCAGCGAAAGCGCGCGAGGCAACACACCGATTGGTCCGCGCGCTGCCGACTTTAAACGCATAAACTATAAAACCTATCTTTTAGGAATAAATCTGCTCTGCCAGTGAAACGCTCAGAGCAACGGAGATGCTTGCAATTCGGCTTTAAAAAATTAATTAAAAATAAGCGATTGCACTGACTGCTATAATTGAAATGAAAACATGAGAAGTGGCTTAATGAGTGTGAATGCCTTTGCAATTAACTAAATAATTTAATTTGTTAGGAGGTCAAACATGTAGGTGTGACAGTATTTGACATGTTCTAAGGAATTATGTAATTTTCACAATAAAGCATACAGACAGCTTCCTGACAATGAAACCACTGGGCATGTCGGCTCATGTAACTCTGAGACTGTGTGGCTCTAAGGGCAGCCTGTATGCTGAATCGCTGCATGCTGAGGAACAGCCTTGTCAAACCACAATCTGGCCTCTGCTTCAACACACTGGACTCAGATGAACGTAGCGCAGCAAAAGCCTGTTAATCAGCAACAGCTTTTACACTGTAAACAAGATAAGATACTAATTCCTTCAAAGAGTAGGAGGATGACCTCATGAAATGGAGTCTGACTACATATGCACATGATATGACAAACCAGTGGGTGAATGTGCTCTTTGAGATTTCAATTGGAGATATAATAGGCATTATTAATGAAACTGATTATTATCACTGCTATATGCTAGCATATTTAGCTACTTCGGCTACAGAGAGAGAGTAGGGATAGAAACATAATTTAATTTTATTACACGTGAACTACGCTATAAGTTCCAAATAGAACTAATTCTACAGCAACAGTGTCAGAAAAAGGTGGATAAATTAGGATCCTGCATTTAAAATACATGGTAACTAAAAGACAGCAGTGTTTATATGGACGGGTTAGTTAACTGATAGCCCACATGTGAAGTATTCACACGTGACTCCATAGAAGAGCAGTTTGTAGCGGTTTGTAGGTTGAAGACGTTTCTCATTCCGAGGCATTCAGTGGGGAATAATTACAGTGGGGATGATAGTGAAGAATGTAATTGTAAGGAAAGAGCTTTTGTTTTGTCTCAGCAGAAAGAGAGCTTTGGTTATGAGGAGGGTGTTTGATATGCCAGTGTCAGCTGGCTGTGGTGAAGAATCCCCAGTTGGGAGCTTAGCTCTCAATTAAATCCACAGCCGAGCACTTTGATGGTGGAGGGCTGCACTGTGAATTAGCCTCTGTGTGAAGCTTATGTAGCTCTGCCACTGGCTAAGTGCACTTCCAATGACCTCCCTCCTGTCCTTAAACAGAAGCAGAGAAAATTAGAATGAAAAGCAGCAGTGTCAGTATTTAACCTGTCTGTCACGAGAGGACCCAAATTTGGGTCCTCTTGTGACAGGTTCCAGGGGGGTTCAACATCCAAGCCTCAGGGGGGGGCGCCCCCAAACTTTTCATATGGGC